CGAACACCTAGTCTTTTTCCAGCTTCATTAAGCCCCCTCACATTCCAACTAATAATTTTTGGAATCATATAAACATTTCATCATCCCTCTCCATATGACCTCTCCTCGACTCTCCACCCTTGAGATCATAATTTACCGAGCACTCGAGGCGTTTAAACTCCTTATCTCCCTTTCTTCTTGTCTTCCCTCTCGATGTACCCAACCCATTTTCCCTATTAGCCTCCAATTCCTCGAATAGTTGAAGAAGCTTATCCTCGAACCCATCACTAGACACACCTACCATCTTGCTGAACTCCAGAATTTTTTCAAGGACCCAATTTGAAGGTTGATGTCTATCATCAAGTGCACTAACTTCCACCATCTCATCAGCATAAATGGAATCAGAACAGCGTCCCCCCTCTTCTTCCACCGGTACAACATCACAGTCTGTATCCCCCTTCCCGGCGCCTCCAACCCACACCACCAGAGCATTATCATTCCCTGAATCCCCTTCCTTCGGAGACTTGGAATATCTCCTACAGTAGGTATTCACTACCATAGTTGCTGAACCTATCGCATCTTGCTGTTTCTCAGGTGCCAACGCTGAACTATCTGCAAATACAGAACCGTTCTGTTGCTCACTAACCAACAAAGATCCCTGAATAGATGGAATCTCAGCTAACCAACCCTCAATTGTAGGGCATTTAGCACCTGCCAATAACTCCTAAGTCAGATTCATAGTACCCAGCTCCCCTACCACAATCATGGGTGCCTCCTCTCGAAATACCCCGACCATTGAAGCCATATCAATCCCATTTGCCTCCTCCGTCCCAACCTTATTTCCATCACCGTAGGAATTCACCACTTCAGTCCGAGTCTGAGATCCACCTCTAGGCTTTTCCATCACCTACTTATCTTTAGTTTGAGCCCTTATCGATGGTAATTCCTTGGACTCCAATGTCGCTACACATTTTCCATTGGTGGGAGACTCGGCTAATCCCACCCCACATTTGTGACTATGAGTAATCCTGGAACCCACTATAGACCCACTCTCCCCTATCTTAATCAAATCGTCCAATTCCCCTTTCAACGCCTGGATGTAAGCCCTTAATGCAGCGTTAGGATCAAACCTCTCATTCTTTGCCCTTTCCTTATCCAACAATTCCCCCTGATTAGCACTTTGCGGTACCCATACATTTGCACACCGGCATAGGTCATC